CAGCCCCTCCACCTGCCCCACAGCCCCTCCACCTGCCCTACAGCCCCTCCACCTCCTCCACCTGCCCCACAGCCTGTGGGCCTTCTCCCAGGAGGAAAACTCCGCCCAGAGAAGCGGTGCTGCTCCATCACACCCTCCCAGGCCCGCAGCTACCACCAGAGCCAATATGGCGGCAGAACACGTGACCCGGGGCAGCCGGCTTTCCGGTCCTGAGGGCCACGTGGTGGAAGCGAAGGGAGTCGGAAGCTTTGTTAACGTTAGTCAGTGCCTTCGCTGCTAATGGTTCCCCACAGAGGAAAACGTCAGAAGGGAATGGGTGTTAGCAGTGAGGAGACTTATGTGAATGCCAGGCGCTGGGAGCCTGCAGGAGAGGTGCTGACCCTTTAGGAAGACAGGTTTCGGTAGACATGCCCGTCCATTAAACAGAAACCTGGGGTGGCACTTTCCTGATGCCCCATCTCACATCTGCTTATGAGCCACATTTCACGTGTACTCACTGTTACCACTGAGGACCCTTCACCACACTGCTAGCATCCCCATGGTTTGCTTACTCATTGGAAGCCCGTCTGAAATGTGTAAGCGGGTGCTCCAGCCTTGGTAATGTGTGGTAGGAGTATTTAGTCAGCAGGCACTCAGAAATATTTGTGCAGTACGGAGGGTTAGTGAAGTGGGCTTGGCCTGAGGTGTTGGCATAACTCAAGGTTTCTATTTAAAAACTGGAGGGAATAAAATAAAAATAAAACTTGGAGGAACTTAAGAGAGTTGAACGGAAGTTCCAAGCTGGCAGCCCTCCTCACGTTAGTCTAAGTCAGTGGTCAGTCAGCAAACTCATGAATCAACAGAGCCAGATACCAACAGTACAACGATTGAAATTTCTTTGGAGAGCCAAATTTTTAAACTTAAACTTCTTCTAACGCCACTTTAAAATAGACTCGCCCAGGCCGTGGTATTTTGTGGAAGAGCCACACTCCAGGGGCCAAAGAGCCGAATGTGGCTCTCGAGCCGCAGTTTGCAGACCACTGACCTAAGTCAGGAACGTGTGACACTAACCTTCTAGAGCCACTTCTCCGTCCGGTCAACGACTTCCCTCGGTGGTGACCGTAGCACCCGTATTTGGCCGTGAGCTCTTGTGGGCAGCTGTTCTGCTCTCCCTGGAAGCCCCAACGTCCAGCACAGAACTTGGCACAAAACTGGCCCCCACCACTTAGCTTCTGACTCGGAACCCTCGTTTGTAAGACGAGAACAGTCCCGCCTACCTCCCGCGGTGTGGAGACCCCCACCGAAGGAGCTGCCTGCAAAGGGCCAGAACTCCCTGGGTAGATGCCTCCTCAGAGGCCACAGGATTCCCATCGCTTCCATGGCTCATTTTCACTTCCCTTTCCACCCACCCGAGACGCAGACCCAGGCCGGCGCTCTCTGCGGAATCGAGTGTCACTTTCTGGCCATTAATCTCTCTGAGCCTATCAGGACCACTTGCATTAGCCCCTCTCACAAAACCCCAGCTGGGCCCTAGTGGGCCAGGAGTGGGGCTCAGGAAGCTGCCTGCTGAAGCCAGCTGGAAGCCCCCCCCATGGTGTCCCAAAGCCCTCTTGGACCAGGCCCTGCCATGTGCCATCTGTGCCCCAGCCAACCCCACCTCGGGGCTGTAGGATGTCATGGATGGCCACCGCTGGAGAGGGACATTGGGAAGACAGTGCCTCCTGGCTCAGGAGAGGCCAGGGGCACTGACGGAGGCACGCTGGCTGGAAAATTCCCTACCCTGGCCCACACTCGTACGTGGGTTTGAAACAACACAGCTGGGTCCTTGACCGGTGAACCTGGGCAGCTGGCGGAGACCGATGTGCATGTGCGGTGGAGAGCGGGAGGTGGGGCAAGGACCGGCAGCTGCCCCCGCCCCCCAAACACACAGACTGTCCTTTCCGTGATGACCATGCAGCTTTCCTAATGGAACACAACCGCTGAACTTGGTACATTTCGAGCACTTTAGCCTTCCAGGACACCAGACTGCTGATGAGAACCATCTTCCGTGGGCGCCATGTTAATGAGAGGCCGAATTTCATACGCTTGCAAACTTTCCCCCCCTCCGCCTCCTGCTGTATTACACCCCGCCTTCCCCCTCAATAAAAGGTTGCATCAGAGAGAGAGAGATTTCCATAATTTATAGTATGGGCATTTCACTGGGGACAAGCGCTAATCTGTACTTACCGATACATTTAAGAAAATGCATCCTCTCGCAAGCCTGCCCCATTTATGACTCTTGGCACAAACCGCAATGCTCAGTCTTCAATTAAGGGACACCTTAGGGTTCATTATCACACAATCGCTCCCTGTGAACCATGCCAAATGCTGTTTTGGCACAGAGCTTGGAAGATGAATTAGAAGGAAGTCTTCTCTGTAATGCCCTCTCCCCAATTCCCACCCCCATCATCAGCGTTTATGCCCTCCTTGGGCTCAGCCCCCTCCTCCTTCTCAAGTGGCTTTTACTATTCAATTTCTCAACGTCAAACTCGATTCTCTAGAGGTGCAGTTAAAGATGCTGTCTCCTTTTTGTTTTCCGGCTCTCGCGGCTGCAGATGGGCTGCTCTCCACACCCCTTTTTGGCCTAAAGGAGCCACAGATGCTTTCCCCCCTCCTCTCAGAGCTTGGGGCCGAGAAAAGAAAAAGGACCAGGATTGGAAATGCACACGAGGATGAGCCATAAGGACCCGCACAAGCGCCTCTAAATGAAGGGATGACGCACGCACGCATGCAGCCGGCGGCAGAGGCAGGCGTGTTCAAATATTAAAGCGGAGCCGGGTCCAGAGCCAGTGGCTCCCATCCCAAGGAAGGAGGGGAAAGAGCTGAAGGCTGATCTTGTTCCTCAACATCCTAGTCCAGGGCCCGCACTGTCATAACGTGTCCTGACACCGCAGGACCCTCCCCAGTGTAACCCGTGGGTAAGGACACCCGCTCTTGGTTTCCTTACTGACAAACAGAATGATGGAGGAGCCCTTTCCAGCTCTCCCAGCACCCAGTGGCCCATAGTGGGCCGGGGCCGAGAGAACCAACGCTGCCAGGACACAGCCAGAGGCCGGCGGGTCCCAGGCAGCTGCAGCCGAAGCAGGTACCGGCCGCCGCGGAAGGCAGCAGCCAGCTGCCAGGCCGAGACCAGCCTGGTGCTAATTTACTTACTGTTTAAACATGAAACGCTGCATGGGTTTGCAGGACACCCTGGAGCGGGGCCATGCTGGTCTCTGGGTTTCTTGTTCCAGTTTTAGTGTGAGCTGCCCGAGCAGCAGCCCGTTTCTCAGGCGGGTGCTGGGAAAGGAAGCATGTGAGGGGTGAGGGGCCGGTGCTGACTCAGTTACCAGGAAGTGTGCTCACCCCGCGGCTGGGCCGAGCTGATCATGGCTTTTCATCCAGCCGCGCCGCTGGGAGGGGCACTATTGATTTCCCTGCCACCCCCAGGGCCAGGCCAGCGAGGCTCAGACGGACAGGTGAGAGGGAGGGGCTGCCGGTGACCAAGGGCTCAAGGCAAACTGTCCAATTCTACCAAACCATTACCAGGAGCTTCACCGGGGAGCTAGGAATCCAGGGGTGCGCCTAGTGGGGCTGCCGCAGAGCAAGGGGGTTGGCCATGAACTCTGGCTTTGATTTCGGGGGCAGCGGGCAGAGGGCGGAGGGAGGGACAAGCGAATGGAAAGCAAACAGACTCAAAATATTTCAACCACAAGATGTCTTGTGGAAATTTTATTACATAGAGTGTAAAATGCGTTGTCAGTCAAATAAAAAGAACACTTTTCTTTTTAAAAACAACATGCATAACATTCTCCAAATATTTATTTTTAATAGTTAGACTTTCAAGCATTATAAAGAAAACAAGGAGAAAAAACCAGAAAGGTAATGTCAGCACATTTCAAACGGAATGTCCCCCAGGTCAATTAAAAATGCAAGAAAAAATAGCTTTAATTCCGTTTTTCTTTCCTTTAAAAATACATGTTATCTGTACAAGACACACTACAGTAAACACTGGAAATCATAGTATCCCTTTTATTAAATCAAAATCATTGAATTCATAGTGTGGTTAATACTAGATTTATTTATTCATCTAGTTAATTTGACAAATATTAAAAAATATTTAAAGAAAAAAGCAAAAAATGCCTCAGAATTAAAAATAGGTACTACATTTTTATGCGGTTTAAAGTTCCACAGTGTTTGTTAAAAGTTATATCAACTTCCTCTTAATATTAAAAATAACAGCATTTATATTTCTGAGAGAATAGAGAAAGGTTTTTTGTGTTGTTTTTAAAACAAGCTTGGAGGTCTTAGATACACAATTGCAACTGGTAATGAGACATGAAAAAAAAACGTATGTAGACACATGAACACATTTTTATATTACCCTTTAAAACTCTAGAAATTATACAAACCCTAAAAAATGCCCCTCCCGATCCCTTTGGACAGCAACACAATTCTCTGTCTCAATTCAGAATTCACATAATTAATTACAATACAGAATAGTTCAGTTTTTTAAAAAATGCAATAAAACAATTGACAGCCAAGATACAAGAAATTAGAAGTAAAACATTTAATGAATTTACACATTTAAATACTGTTTAAAATTTTTTAAAAATAATTTGTTACACACCTCCTAAACTTCCAAGCCCCTTTCTGTTGCAACAGAAACAACTGTAAATAAAAAGACACGAAACAAAACAAAACAGAACAAAACACACCAGTTGAAATGTCGCTGCAGTGAGGCACATTCTGGTGCCTGCATTGGCAGATATTGCTCCAAAAAGAATCCCAGAGCTTCCACGTTTGAAATAACAAAAATAATGAAACAAAAATGATCAGCAATCTTTAGTAACTAATTTCCCGATTTTTAGAAAAATTCTGTTAATCTAAATATAGTGTTTCACAGAACAAAGGTTCTTCATCAAAAGGTTTGCAAATCTAAAAACCTGTTACAAATAGGCTTTCGCTCACGATGATTTCGGGGAGGGGGTCACAGGCCAGTCCTACTGCTCCTGTGGAAGGAGGGAGAGGGGTCAGCCTGGGGCGGGCTCCCAGGGGCTTGCTGATGGGGCAGGGCACCCGCCCCTCGGCTGCCCCCGGCGGGACACACAGGAAGCAGCAGTGCCTCAGCCCCCCGCCTCCCGCGGGGTCTCTGGCCCAGACAGAGCCTCCCTAGAAAGAGGTTCGGCATCTCTTTCTGTGGGGACACTGGGAAGGGGAGGGAGTGAGCTCGCGATACTTCTCGGTCACCACCAGCCTTGGACACCCGTTCGCACCGCGCGCAGGCACACAGGGCCAATGTGGTAGTGAGCGGGCCAGGCAGCTTTAGGTCCAGGGCTCTGAGCGGACCCAGCGTTAGGTCACTTGGCCTTTGCCCTCCGTTAACAAGAGCCCAGGCTTCTGTGCAGGACCGAGAGCTGGCACGCTGCCCTGCCCAGCCTTCCGAGGATGTGGGCCCCAGCCCGGCCCTGCCCTGCCCGAAGCAAGGGCGACAGCCTGGCCCCAGCGCCCTCAGAACAGCACGGGCGTGAGCTCCAGTCCCTGCTCGCAGAGCCAAGCTTGCCCAGAACCCTCCAAGCCTGGTGCTCTCATTTAGTGGGGGAAACTGAGGCCGCCAGCGCTGCGGGCTGGGCCTGGTCTGGGAGGGACCGCCCAACCACCTCCTCTCCCACTTGGTCCACACGCACTCTCTGGGCAAGGAGGGCCGGCGGCTGCCTTTGGGCTCTGGGCAGATGGCAGCCACGCTGAGCAGCACTGGGCCTGTGCTGCCCCCCCCCCCCCCCCCCCGGGCTGGTGTTTCTACCCTGGGAGCAGGCACAGGGCCCGGGAGGAAGGGTTGTAGGTAGGTAGGGCTGGGAGGTGTCAGCGGAGCTGGCACGGGTACACACCTGGCTGTGGGCCTGAGCTTGCCCTAACGTCTGCCCGTAGAAAGCAACCTGCTGTCGGTAATACTCGGCCCAGGCCATGGTGTAGTCCGGCGGGGAGCTGGCCTGAGGCGCGGCGCTGGCAGCGTGGCCTGAGGGACAGAGGAAACAGTCGTCAGGGGGGATGCGCTAGGGGGCGCTTCCTGAAGACGTGGCATCCGGAACCAGTGCCTGCTGGATGCCGGTGAGGTGGGGCCCGAGTGTTGGCTGCAAAAAACACCTTTAGCAGAAACCGGTTTGGCTCAGTGGTAGAGCGTCGGTCTGCGGACTGAAAGGTCCCGGGTTCGATTCCGGTCAGGGGCATGTACGTTGGTTGCGGGCACATCCCCGGTGGGGGATGTGCAAGAGGCGGCTGGTCGATGTTTCTCTCTCATCGACATTTCTGGCTCTCTATCTCTCTCCCTTCCTCTCTGTAAAAAATCAATAAAATATTTACAAACAAACAAACAAACAAACACCTTTAGCTGCCCAAACCAGTTTGGCTCAGTGGATAGAGCATTGGCCTGCGGATTGAAGGTTCAATTCTGGTCAAAGGCATGTACCTTGGTGGCAGGCACATCCCCAGTGAGGGGTGTGCAGGAGGCAGCTGATCATTGTCTCTCTCTCATCGATGTTTCTAGCTCTCTATCCCTCTCTCTTCCTCTGTAAAAAATATATTTAAAAACAAACAAACAAAAACAGCTTTTCACTGCTGCTCCTGCTTCATCGCTGGCTGTCTCTTCAGAATCACATTCTCTGCATTGGTCACTTGACTCGTGAGCACCCAGTGAGGGGGAAGGAGGAGGGTGCCTGGCTTGGATGTATGCGTGCAACTGCCCAGGGTGCCAGGCCCCATGCCTGGGAGTCTGGGTTTGGGAGGTGTGGGGAGACTGGCCCTGGACTTGGACCAGGTGCCTCCGGTGATGACCTCCTGGCCCAGTGAGGACGCAAACCCCAGGGACTGTCCCTCTGATGACCTTTGACTTGAGCTCCTCCAACCGGCCAGTAGCATCCTTCACAGCTCCCCCCGCGCCCGCCCCCGGCCTCCGAACACCCGCGGAGGGCTGAGTCCTCATTGGAAGCATTCGCCGGGGTTGGGTTGCTGTTGTTAGTTTTCCCTCCTCTTTTTAAAGACTCGTTTAATTTCCCAAGAAAATCAAACATCTCATCACCCACTCCAACTGCAGGCTCCCTTTCGAGTCCCAGCACTCTCTCCTCTCCCTTCACCCGCTCTGGAGTAGCCAGAGAGCCAGGTGACGGCAAGAGGGGAACAAGAGACGGCTGGGCTGCGTCCTGGCCTCGTGGCCTAACGGGCCAGGACAGTGGCCTGCTCCCCGGTGGAGGGCCCGCAATGTGGAGTTCAGGAGAGGGAGGGAAGCGGGGAGGAGGGAAAGCAATGGCTACGCCAGGTCTCCTCTGAGACACACAGAGGGCCAGACAGGGACGGGGAGCCACGAGCAGTGACGGCCACAGGCGAGGGGCTGCGGCTGGGGCTGGTGGTCAGGGCGCCATCGCACTCACTCTGCTTTTTGTAATAGTCCTCCCAGGCCTTGCTGTAGTCGGGCTGGCTGCTCTGCGGCTGGCTCTGCTGGCCTGTGCGAAGAACACAAAAGCAGTCAGGCCCAGCCCGGCGACCCCTGGGCCACACTCTCTACAGCCGCTCCCGGCCCTGTGGCCGGGAAGAAGGTGGCGGCAGAGGGCTGCGGAGGAGACATGGCAACCCGAGGGCCTCTGCTCAGGCCGCCGGTGTGTGTGCAGCTAAGACCCCGTGAGGCCGGGCGGGCGGGCTGATGCCCTCCAGGGTGGCCATCGGGGACCTTCACACAGGGGCTGCGGGTGAGGAGCCCGAGGCCACACTCACTGCCTGTCGTCTCAGCTTCCCGGAGGGGCTGCAATGGGAACCGAGTCCTTTGTCAGACTGCCGGCTGCCCCGCTGCACAGGCAGAGCCAGAGTGACACTGGACACTGTCCGGACCCTGAGCTCAGGGTGATGACAGGTGAGGCCCACACAGCAGCGGCTGTGGCCTCAACGTGCCAGCCTCTGCCTCTGGGGCAGGAGGGGGAGACGTGTGGCTCGCTCTGCCCTCCTCTTCAGTACCCAGCCGGTGCCTCCTCCGTGGAGCAGGGCAGTGAGGACGGTGGGGTAAGGAGACTGCCTGCCCAGTGCACAGAGAGCGGGAAGTGAACTCGGCAAGCCCGCCCGGCGGCTCAGGCAGTCGGGGGTCTCCGCACCGAGGCCAGGCTGGCTGGTGTCTACCCGAGGCCTCTCGCTGTCTGCGGGGGAAGAGCCTGCAGCAGCCCGGAGGCCTGCCCGCAGCCGTCTCCCAGCGTCCCTCCTGCACGTGAGCCCTCTGAGGACAGAGGGCGTGGGGTCTGGGTGTGGGCTGGGAACAGAAAAGAGGGAGGAGGGGAAGAGAGGGAGAGGCCTCCTCACCCTCCTTTCCCACCTGGGCAGGAGGAAACAGCCCAGGACACCAGGGGCAGAAGGACTGGGCTGGGGGAAGGCTAGGCATGAGGAATGTGGGCAAGCAGGGTCTTTCTTTCAAACAAGGTTTCACCGACCAAAACCAACTCTCAATCCCTAACCCCCTCTCCCCCGAGGAAAGCAACAAAGCTCCACACCAGGTGCAGGCTGGAGCCCGCGGGCGTGGCTCAGAGGCTGAGCGTCAGCCTGTGAACAGGAGCTCGCAGTTCCACTCCCGGTCAGGGCACAGGCCCGGGTGGTGGGCTCCATCCCCAGTGGGGGCGTGCAGGAGGCAGCCTATCAATGATTCTCATCCTTGATGTTTCTCTCTCTTCCTCTCCTTCTTCTGACATCAATAAAAACATATTTAGTGAGAAAAAAGATGCAGGCTAGTGATCAGAGGAAGAAACCAGGCATCTGCTGTCTTCCTTCCGCGCCGATGCTTCTCCGGCTTCCGGGCCTGCTTGGGCGTGGGACGCAGCCGGCCGGGCTCTGCGCAACCACAGCCCGGGTCGACGTGCCCCCGGGCTTCAGCACAGACCACCCCCGTCCTGCCCTGGACAACGGGGCTCATGTGAGCCCACCCCAGGCCACCTCACCCCCCGGGCCGCCCTCGATGGCCAGAACAGGAGGGAACCAGGCAGACAGCTCCCAGGTAGAGTGAGCCAGGGAAACGGGAGCGGTAGGTAGGGTCAGGGTGGTGTTAGGTGTTCATGGTGAAGCTCTAAAACATTCTGCATATTTAATATGTTTCCTAAGAAAACACTGCAGAGGAGGAAAACTACAGCCACGCCATTTCAGAGCTTGTCGTTCCTTTAGAAATCAAATCCAAGCTCTTCCTTTCAGACCACGAGACTGGAGCTGAGAGAACAGCACAGGCCTCCGGACCCCGGGGGTGTCATCAGCTGTGACTGCCTGGGGTCTGGGCAGCGCTGCCAGGGAGGGAAGGGGTGGCACACAGGCCCCGGGCTCGGTCCCCGTGAGCAAAGCTGTGAAGCCTGGCCTGCAGCCAGGTGTGCGGGGCGGACACGCACAGACACACCGAAGCCTGGAGACTGCTTCCGGGCACAGCCGGGCCCTTGAGAGGATCAGAAGAGCCAGGCCTTTGCTTTGTTTGCAGGCTGAGCAAGATGGGCCCCGCCAGCAGTAAGACTTAAGAACACTCCTAACCGAGAGTGGGCCGGGGAGCGGGGGAGTCTCATTCCCACTGAACTCCTCTTACACCAGCTTCTCCCCCAGGCCACCGGGCAGACTCTCCCAGGGGACAGAGCCCCTGAGGCGGGGCTGGAAGAGGGAGAGGGTCACCTCGCGGCCAGAGGGGGGGAGAGGGAAGGCACCCAGCAAGCAGGGGGCTGCTTAGGACAGAGTGAGCGGCAGAGCTGCAGGTGGAGGAACTGAGGGGCTCACACACCAGGCCCGTGGCACAGGCTTTGTGACCCACAGCGCCGAGAACAGTGGGTGGGAAGGAAAGGTCTGAGAAGGTGGCCAGCCTCCTCTGCCCCTGCCCGCTGGAAGCCAGTGCCACCTGCAGAGAAGCCTCCTCTGCCGGCAGCTCCAGATGCCCCAGGAGGCTCGCTGCCACCCGGGAAGGGGCATCGGGGCCTGTGGGCAGAGGTGGAAGGAGAGCATTTCAGGCCCACCCCCCTCGAGCCTTTCCGGGGGGTGGGGGTGCCCAGTGCCACCTCCTCCGAGACACTTACTTGGGACTTGCTGCGTGGGCTGCTGCCAGGCCTGGTAGGTGCTGCCCCAGCCCTGGGTCAGAAAGGCGGGAGGACCGCTGCCGAGAACAGGAGGAGTCACTTTCCCAGTGCAGGTCACACCCCTCCACACCGGTGCCCACCTCCCGCAATCCCGCTGGCTGGCTGTAAACCCCCCCCCCCCCCACACAGGCACAATGGTCCCCCACCAGGCAGGCACAATGGTCACCAGACCCCCGGCCTGAGGGCACTACAGGACAAGCGGGAGAGTCACCCACCTCACAGGGGCGCTGTGCGGGTTCCCGTTCACCTTAGCAGCAATGTTTGGGAAGCACCCTGAGCTCCGAGGAGGGAAGGTGCTGGAGAAAGCGAAGAACTCCGTTAAAGGGCAAACACAGAGACTTTGGGGAAAACCTTCCCTCTGTCCCACGATGGTGAGCCTCCTCAGGGATGCTGCCCGGGGGCCCTCACCCCACGTCAGTGAGCTCTGGATGGGCCTGGGAAGAGGTGGGAGGAGCCTGCCCAGCCTGCCCACACGCAGAACCCCAGGCTGCCGGCCCCACAGCAGCTGGAAGGAGGTCTCTCCGAGGGGGTGGGTGGGGGTGAGACTCACTTTTGATGAGGTGCAGCAGGTGGCTGGCCGAAGGGGCTCTGTCCAAAGGCTCCCGGTGCTCCCAGACTGGAACCCTGTCAAGGCACAGAGGGAGCTCTCACTTCCTGCTGGGCGCGTCTCTGCCCTCTGCCCAGGCCCCCCCAGGCAGACCACAGCTTCCGGGGAGACAGCCAAGTGAAGGAAAGACATCCTATGGCACTCACACTAGCCTTCCTTCCCCTGGAGGAACCAAATACCACCACACAGCCAATGCTGGCACCACCACATTTGCCCTGGCATGTCACCCTGGGGGTAGGGACCAACCTGCTTGACTCTCCCGTCAATTCAGGCTGGCCCATGGCTCTTTCTGCCATTCTACGTCCCCTCTGAGGTGAGCAGTGGCCCATCTGTCCTCCATCAACACTCCCTTTCTGTATCTGCTTTGAGGCGCCTGAAACTAAAGCCAGAGTCAATGAGAGCTGCCTGCGGGGCTGGGGCCAGGCAGTCCCGGGGCAGGACTGGGGGACGGCTGCTGCCCCAGCTGCTCCTCTAAGCCTGCGGGGGACACGGCCCTAGGGCCTGAGCTGGTGGCCGTGGTGAGATCTGCCAGAGGCTTCCTTCATCGCCTGGCCCTGGCTGGCATCCCTGGGCCCCGCGTTCCCCCTCGGCAGTGAGAGGAGGGCTCACGCGGCGTGAGGATGGAGGGTCAGGAAGTACAAGGTGCTGGGAGGACAGGTACCTTGGACATCACCCGAAAGTCAGCCATTAGTAAGCCCGGGGTAAGGCCCTGTACGTACGCCGACTTTCTCATCCATGAGGTGCCTGGCCACCTCGATCTGCTGGGGAACGCCCCTGATGGTGAAAATCCGCAGGCTGGGGTCGGTGTTGGGCGGGGGGTTCCGCTGCAGCTCCACGTGCGCGCCGGACTGCTGGTTTATGCTTTTGATGTTCTCGCCGCCTGTGGGCAGGAGCACAGGGGACAGAGGAGTGAGTCGTAGCCCGAACGCTGAGCGAGATCCGCTCCCGAAGAGAAGGAAGGGCTTTCTGCACCCGCTTCTCAGAAGCCAGGCTCAGCCTTTCTCCGGTCAGGCCGGCACTGCAGACCCCACGGCACCGGACCTGCTGCTTCTCCCCGCGAGGCCCAGGGATTGGCACACATGGCGCTCAGCCCTCGGAGGCCAGCGCCCAGCTCCCACCAGGCCAGAGGCCTCACCGGGAAAAGCACTCCATCCTTCTCAGCACAAGAACGGCCACCTGATGGCCCCTCCACAGCACAATGGGGTCCTTCAGCCCCTGCGTGGCCGCGCACTGGGCTCTCCCCCCTCCACAGGTCAGACAGACGGCCACAGGCCCGACAATGCCCGAAGCCCACTCGGCCCTTACTATCCCATCTCCTCCTGTCTCTCCAGTCCTGCTCCTCCATGGGGGTGCGGGTGGGGTGGGGGGACAGGTCTAGACAGAGGCCGCCGAGGATGGGGTCACAGAGGCCTGGGTGGAGCCGGGCTAATGAAAATTTAGTTGGACTCTTTGAAAAACCCGTGACAGTCCCAGTCTCTTAATGAAATTTGTGTAACAAAAGCGCCACCAGGGCAACAATGGTCTGATTCTTCCTTTGAGATCTCACAGAACTAGACCAGCACAGCTCAATTGGGGGGAGCAGGATACACGGAAAACGCCTAGTAGAGCTTGGGAAATTGGAAAAAGACAATCTGTGGAAAATCTGGTGCAGGGACCAGGGAGCCCCAAATGATCAAAAGCAACAACTAAAGGCCAGCCTGTGGCTCTCCTCCCCGCCCGGAGTCAAAACTAACCTCACAGGCCACACTCCCCTGCCTCCCGGGGGGAGTGACAGCGGCCGCCGTCCCCAGGAGGGACCACAGGGGCCAGAAGCGGGACTGGGGCAGGAGCCGGGCCGGCGTCCTCGCTGGAGCGCTCACACGGTGGAAAGAAACTGAGGACTCGGATGAAGCTTTGTTCACATCGGCCTGGGTAGTATGGGGAGGCTTTACATTTAAAAGCAAATTAAAAAAGGCCTCGGCAGACCACCTGCTGCGCACAGGATCTTTATGAAGTTGTGACGGTTTAGGAAAGCTTGTCTGGGGACAGCAGTGAGGATGCGGAAGTCCCAGGCCCGCCCTCAGAGGGTGACTCTGACTGGCACCTGAGGAGAGCAGCTCTGCCCCTCGGCGATAGCGTTCTGGGGAGCAAAGAGCCACGCCGCCGTGGCGGGGACCTTCCACGCAATCCCAGCGCCGCTCGGCTGCGGGCAGGATGTCTGAGACAGACCCTGCAGCTCCTCCGTCCGGGTACTCGGCCGGCCGGCCGGCCACAGCCCCTCTCCCGAGGCCTCAGGAGCATGCTAATAGGGTGAGGAGGCCCCACAAAATGGCATGGGGCCGGAAGGAGTTAATTTAAGTTTATCTTCCTTCAAAATGAGGTCACCAGCCTGGCACATGGTGGCTGTCTATAGACTCATTCAGCAGCCCGCTCCATTCTTCCACCTGATGGGGGCAGAAGCCACCCCAGCGGCCCCCTGGCTGCTGTGAAATCGTAAAGCAATTAATCAAACCGCTAAAAGGCCTGCTGACAAGAGCAGGGCGGCCACGCTATCTGTCACCACTGCTGTGTTTATCATGGAAATCCAGCAGGGGCCGGGAGGCGCAGCGTCTGCCCAGGGGCTGGCGCAGGGGGAGCAGGCCGACGGAGTGGGGCTCCCTCTGTTCCCCCTCCTCCCCGCATGTTCCCAAGGAGGAGGCTGTCCTGGGAACACCGACCCCGAGTGTGAGGACTGTCCCAGCGAAGGCCGCAGGCTCTAGAGGAGACACTCACAGGAAAACCTGTTGATAAAAACGGATTTCACAAGGCACAGACAGAGACCCAGAGCTGACTCTCAACCTGCGGCATCCACAGAATTACGCTCAGGCAGGCAGGTGGAGGGCTGGTGCTGGTGTGTGTGTGTGTGTGTGTGTGTGTGTGTGTGTGTGTGTGTCTGGTTATCACAGCATTTGGGCAGCTAACAATATCTGTCAAACACTTCTCAGCATGGCACCCACTGAAGATGAAAACAAGCCCACACTGTTCCTAGCACTCCCGAGATCTCCGAATGACAGACACAGGAGGTAACCGTGTGAAAAGAACGTCAAGCACGCTGCCCGGGCAGGGCCAGGGCCAGGGCCGATGCAGACTGGAGGTGGGTGGCAGCGCAGGAGGAATGCCCACCCCACGCCAGCTCGTGAGGACGTCCCACTTCGGTCCCAACTTCTGTTGGTGGACTAGCACCCCTCCTCCAGCGAGCACAGGCCTGTGGGCACAGGAACGGGAGGCACTCTGGGGAAGACTGCCATTTCCTCAGACACAACCCCCCACTGAACCGAGTCTCCTGTTGGCATGGAGACTGTGGAGCGCAGAGAGGAAGGGCCCGGGGAGCAGACCTGCTCTCAGCCGCCTTTCTGGGCTCCGGGCAAGGCCAGCCCGTCGCCGAGACATCGCCTGCTCCCCCTCCTGCCCCCTCAGAGCCCAGAAACAACTAACAAACCTATCTTCATTCTCCGCCAGGTGTGGCAGTAAAAGTGCTGGAAGCATTAAAACCACTTCCGCATGTCATATCAATGAGGCCAATGCCCAAACCCAGAGTGACACTCAGAAAGCATCTTCCCAAGAGGAGACCGTCTCAGCTGGTCCTCTAAGTCCCTTGGAGGCGTATTCATTACTGACCAGTCAATCCACAAACATCCGAAGGCAAACATTCAGCCTTTTCAGCAACTAAGCTGCCCCCCCAGGCAGCGGGCCCTGTGGGTCATGTTGCTCGCCCTGCCCCGTTCACGAGAAGGCCCGTGCCCAGCAGGGCCCCACAGAAGGCAGCTGATGCCGCAGACCCGGTGCCTCAGGCAAGCACAGCAACCAGCCTCCACGCGTGCGCTGGAGGTATGTGACCCATGTGCTGGCCCGTTAGACAGCGGAGAGGGAACATACAACCCAGCAGCTGCCCCTTACCTTTGCCTATGACGAGGCCGCACTTATCTGCGGGCACCGTGTACGTGATCTCCTGGATGCCGCCAGGGGCGCCCATGCTCCAGTCGCCACGGCCTCGGCCTCGTCCTCGGGCTACCGCGAGGCCTCCAAAGCCGTCCCTTTCCTGGGAAGGAGCAGAGCTCAGGTGAAGCTTCCTGCCACTGCCCCCAGCACCACTTCCATCCCCAGGAGGAGCCGTGACAGGATGTAATCAGTGTCATGGATCAGACCCGAGCATCATTCCGCATTTCAAATGGTGAAGGCTCTTTAGAAGCAGAATTAGCGCACATCACAGGTGTGTCCAAGGAGCACACGTGAGGATAAATGCATGTGTTACATAACCGCACGGACCCGACGAAGCAGGGCAGATATGAACTCCTAGGTCCGAAGCCCAGGGCCCCTCTCCCTGGGGTTCGCATTACTGGGCCCTCATCTACAGGTCAGAGGTGAGTCTCTTTTCAATGAAGCTGCCCTTTCCCAGGGGCTAACACACGGTGGGCCGACCAGAAACCAGATACTAGATGCTGAAGAGCCCGGCCATTTGCAGTGACACGTGCGAGACAATGGATGACTTCTGACCTCCCCTGACTAGACTGCGGTAAGGAACCATCAGACACCCTACATGAGTCAGAACACCTTGCAACCCAACCAGCAAAAAGGATGAAAGGATTTTAAAGAAAAACTGGCCCTAGCCGAGACCGGTTTGGCTCAATGGATAAAGCGTCGGCTTGGGGACTGAAGGGTCCCGGGTTCGATTCCAGTCAAGGGCATATACCTTGGTTGCGGGCACATCCCCAGTAGGGGGTGTGCAAGAGGCAGCTGATCGATGACTCTCTCTCATTGATGTTTCTAACTCTCTATCTCTCCCCTTCCTCTCTGTACAAAATCAATAAAATATATTTATTAAAAAAAAAGAAAAAAGAAAAGAAAAGAAAAACTGGCTCTAGCTGGTCTGGCTCAGTGGATAGAGCATCAGCCTGTGGACTGAATAGTCTGGGGTTCGATTCCGATCAAGGGCATGCCTGGGTTGTGGGTTTGATCCCCAGTAAGGGGCGTACAGGAGGCAGCTGATCAATTATTCTCTCTCATCATTGATATTTCTATCTCTTTCTTTCTCTCCCTTTCTGAAATCAATAAAAAAAAAAAATACTTAAAAGAAGAAAAAGAAAAACCGGCTGTCCCACTCCCCAGAGGGAGGGACCAAGCCAGGCTGGTGCACGGCTGGGGCTGGAGAAGTACCTGCCTATTTTCGAATCCCCCTCCCCAGAGCAAAGCCCACACCGGGCACCTAACAGGAAGCTTCCTTTCACCTGAGAGCCACAAATCTCATCTGGGCCCCTCTGGAGCGGGAACATTTAAATCTTTTAAACTCAGAGGAAAAGCCCAGCTCCTTTCACGGCAGAGAGAAGCTGAACAGAGGTTCAACATGGTGAAGAAATGTTTTGGCAAAATCTGGCTAAATCAACTACAGGAAAACTGAACGTTTAACAGAATCTAAACAGCCGAAAGCAGGGGTCACTGGAGCGCTTTCTTCCTGCACTTTGCTTTTACGAGGCTGAGGACAAGCACACAAGGTAACCTAGCGACGTATGTTCACACACACACACACACACACACACACACACACACAGCCATTTGCTGGGTGTGCCACAGGGCCCTCCTCCTCTCCAGCCTCTGCAGTTCTGGGCTCGTGCCTCCTTTAGAACTTGTCCATCCTAACAATTGCCTTAGCTACAGCGGAGACCCAAGCCCCTGACCTGCAGATTCTGACTCAGTGGATCTGGGCAGGGTTCTGCAGATTTGCTCCATCGGCCTGCACTCTCAGGTGACTTACGGGACCATCTGGTGCGAAACCGTTGCTGCTGAGAACACTTGGCCTAGACAGGTTCAAAGGCTCACCCAAGGTCACATGGCTGACGGCAGAGCTGACCACAATTTCTAGTGCTTTCTTCAGCTCCACTCATTCTCCAGCTTCCTCAGCCCTACACACCTGGGCACCGTCACTTACAGCCATTCCCAGAGCTACAGCAAGGGGGGCAGGTGGAGATGAGAGTACAGCACACAAGGCCACTCCCTCTCCAGAGGAGAACCCGGAATCCAGTGCATGAAAGCAGCATTAAGACTCTGTGGGTCCTGCCGAAACCGGTTTGGCTCAGTGGATAGAGCATCGGTCCCAGGTTCGATTCCGGTCAGGGGCATGTGCCTTGGTTGTGGGCACATCCCTAGTGAGGAGTGTGCAGGAGGCAGCTGATCGATGTTTCTCTCTCATCGATGTTTCTAGCACTCTATCCCTCTCTCTTCCTCTCTGTAAAAAATCAATAATTAAAAAAAAAAAAAAAAAAAAAAAAGACTGTGGGTCCTGAAGTGCTTTCCAAAGCTAGGTGATATTCTACTGACAGTCTTAAGCTTGGGGTCTGCACTGTATTTCCCCCATTAACTAGTCAGAAACCTAACTTCTGGGACAACGAAGGCAGCAGATGACAAACTAGCAGGAAAGAGCAGCTGCGGAGCAGCCCCAGAGCCCCAGGCCGGAGCCCGTGTGGCACCTGCCACCAGGCCAGTGAGGGGAAGCCCCAGCCAGACCCACCTGGGCTGTGAGAATGAGCTCATTGATGACATGCGCCGCATGCTGACATCGGTCGGGGGGCCCCATGACCTGCGCGGCTCTCTCTGGACTAACTCCATCATCTGCGGAACACGGAGAGGCGGGTCAGCACAGCGCAGCTTCAGAGATGGAGCCAATCTGATTGCCATCAACGTCCCTCCCAGTGTCAGGGCTGGCCCTTCCCCAGCTCAGGGCCTCTGTCGCTGGGGAAAGGTGTATGAATGCGCCTTTTTGCATGGCCCCTGCCAGTACTTATACAATTCCCGACATTTAAAGGAGATATCATTAAAGAAAAGAACCAAGCCGAGACCGGTTTGGCTCAATGGATAGAGCGTCAGCTTGGGGACTGAAGGGACCCGGGTTCGATTCCGGTCAAGGGCATGTACCTTGGTTGCGGGCATATCCCCAGTAGTGGGTGTGCAAGAGGCAGCTGATCGATGACTCTCTCTCATCGACGTTTCTAACTCTCTATCTCTCTCCCTTCCTCTCTGTACAAAATCAATAAAAATATATTAAAAAAAAAAAAAAAAGAAAAGAACCAAAACAAAAACAAACATAAAAATTCCAAGGAAAATAGAGTTGAGCTATGGCAATATTTTCCCAAAATTAGCCCATCACCATGTTTTTCCATCTTTAGAGAAATAAAGACACTGCAGATAAGTTTGCTTATAAAGATACTTACAAAATTTAAAGCACTGTCCTTTATTCCAAAAGGTTTGTCGTCCCCCCCCCCTTTTTTATGATTTTAAGTTACCTTTAATTTTATAAAATTACAATAATAGATTTTTAAAAAGTTTTTAATTGGCAAAATTGAAACTGGAAATGCTATGTTGATTTTCCCCAATTTCATTAGTTGGGGTGTGTGTGTGTGTGTGTGTGTGTGTGTGTGGTGAAAACCGGGGCCAGGTGTCAGGCACAAGGGTAGCCACACCAACACATGCAAAGGAAGAAATGAGCCTGGAGGAGAACCTAGGATCGGGCATTTGGTAACAGGATGTTGCAAAAGACAGAGAACAAGAAACAGGGAGAGAAAAGACCACAAAGGGGGTGGTACAAAGTGCTATTTTGTGAAAGGGTTTCTTAAACATTTATCTTTATTGTTGAAAGTATTACAGATGTCCCCTTTGTCCTCCACCCCCCCCCCCCCCGCCCTTCCCCTCACTATTGCCTGTGTCCACGGGTTATGCGCCTATCATGTAAGTTCTTTGGTTAATTTCTTCTTGCAACCCCTCCCACTCCCCCACCCCCACTCCCCCGTGCCCCATCCCCCCATCTAATTAAAGGATTTTTGAGAACTATCAAAACCAACCTGGTTTGAACTGAATCCTCACACCAGCATCATTCTGGATCTTTTTGATCATTTCCCCATTTCTTCCTATTACAATCCCAACAGCAAACCGAGGCACAGACACCTGGGCAATGAGAAACAGCCTCATCAGCGCTTCTGGCAAACCTGTCTTCTCAATAGGTGTGTGTGTGTGTGTGTGTGTGTGTGTGTGACTTGACTTGTATTACAGTGCATTCCTGGAAATGATATAATAAAGCATATTTTTTCTCTTTTAAGAACAATTTTGTGGTTAATGATTGCATTTCTGTCTGCTAAATGCACTCAGTAAGTCTGAGATTTGATCAAAATAGTTATAAAAATGAAGAAAAGCAAGGATAAACTGTATACATAGATAAAAGATTAAAAATGACAAATTTATCTTCTAAACTCTATGAAATAAGCATAAGTATGTCATAAACATTTATAGCGGTCCTTCAAAATATGTTTTTCAGCCCTAGCCTCTTTGGCTCCGTGGACAGTGTTGGCCTCTGCAGACTGAAGGGTCCCCGAGTTCAATTCCAGTCAAGGGCACATACCTCGGTTGCAAGACTGGTCGGGGCGTGTGCAGGAGGCAACCAATCGATGTGCCACTCTCACATAGATGTTTCTCTCTGTGTCCCCCCAACCCCGGCCTTCCCCTCTCTTAAAAATCAATGGAAAAATATCCTCGGGTAAGGATTAACAAAAAAGATACATATACACACACACACACACATATATATGTATCATCTTAGCCATTCATAATTACATAATTAAGTGGTATCAAATGCACTGGCGCATATATATATATATATTAGAGCCCAGTGCATGAATTCGTGCATGGGTGGGTATTGGCCAGCCTGGTCCCGGGGGGGGGGGGGGGGAGGAGGAGACATGGGTGACTGGTTGGCCTGTCTGCTGGTCCAACTCCTGGTAGAGGGGACAATTTGCATATTAGCCTTTTATTCTATAGGATATACACAGAGTGGCCAGATTATTATGCATTCAGAGATAATAATCTGGCCACTCAGTGTATATTCGAAATATTGTGAAACCATCCCAGATATCTATAGCCTAGACCTTGTCATCATCCCCAATAAAAACTCTACATTACTAAATAGTAGCTCCTGCTTTCCCCAGCCTCTGGTAACCTCCATTCTATTTCATGACTCTACAGATATGCATACTCTAGGTATAAGTGGAATTACATAATATTTATCCTTCTGAATCTGGCTTATTTTATAAGCATAATGATGGCAAAATCCATCCATATTGTAGCATATTATCAAAATTTCATTCTGAAGGGTAGATTCTGATCCCATTCCATCTCGCCAATAAATATGGTTCCCTTGTTCGATACAATCAACACAGATCACTGAGAAAACATGGGCAGTGGGATAAGCTTTGAAGCAAAACTTTAAAACGAGGGGATGACCCCAAGCCCCAAGAGCATGCAGTTGCTCCCTCACTACGGCTGACTGTCTGTCTCACACCCACCCTGAGAAGTCAGCGTCTTGGTAGGATTTCACAGATGAAACAAAAATGAAATAACTTGCTCAAGGTTAAAGAGCCAACAGACGTGTGACCTACGACCTTAATCCTAACCTCATTTGCCTACTAACCTGTGATTCAAGCATACCTCTATGCTGCCTCCTCCCATTCGGGAGGTGAAGTCACCGCGTACTCCTCGGAAGTCAGCTTGGTCTTTTTCTCGGATGATCTCTAATACCATTTCTCTTGCTTGCTGTGTAAACACAGATAAAAGATGTTATGGAACACAAAATCCTAAAAAAAGACATGACACCAGGTAAAACTTCAAGATCAGATCCTTGAGCTTAAAGACTCAGAAGGTGCTCAGCAACGGGAGAACTTTCTTATTCTATTATTTTTATTATACTAAAGGCCCAGTGCACAAAATTCATGCAAGGGGTGGTGGTGTCCCCTCAGCCCAGCCTGCACCTTCTCCAATCTGGGACCCCTCAGACATCCCTCTCACAATCCGGGACCACTGGCTCCTAACTGCTCACCTGCCTGCCTGTCTGATCGCCCCTAACTGCTCCCCCTGCTGACCTGGTCGCCCCCAACTGCCCCCCGTAGGCCTGGTATCCCACACAGCCTGCTGCTCAGTCGTTTGGTTGCCCCTCACTAACCCTTCTGGTCTAGTTGCCCCACTCAGCCTGTTCGGTTGTCCACTTGATTGAGATGGTCGCTTAGGCTTTTATATATATAGATGGGGCATGGGCAGGCTGCTTAGGGTTGCATAAATCAAGTCCTAAATGACATGGATTTTTTTATACTGTCCAAAATGCTCAGATAAGGGTCCATTGTCTTGAAAGCCATAGTAGGACCAGCATTTCTGTGCTGGGTTTGAACTTGCTTCCTGTCCCCCGAGGTGTTTTCAGCAGCCGTTTCTTAGTGAGGGGAGGGTTTTTCTGAGAGCCCTGACTGTGGGCAGGCTCCAGGAGAAAGACATTACCAAGGCATCTATCACAATGGAGCTCCAGGAAGGTCAAGGGAAAAGGCCAGTCCTGGAGCCCAGAGTACCTCCCAGCATTCAGAGATCAAATATCCGATTACTGTCTGACAAGACGACCCCCAGACCTGACTGTCTCCAAGACGCACTCCATGTCCTCTCCCCAAAGGACGCCCTTGTTAGTCTATCCTGTCCACGCCAGCCTCAGCCCCACAGGAATCTGCACTAAGGATCAACTGTACCTAGCAACTCAAAGTAATGTGGGAACTCAGACTGAGTCTTGGTTCTGGAAAAACCAAACCAAACCAAAACAACTGTCTCCCCTGCCCAACCTCCAAAAAGCAATTAGTCTCAGGATACTTAGAGAACTTTGAATATGGATTGGCTCAAGAGACATTATGGGGTTACTGTTATTTTCTCTGGCCTGGTTATATAGCAAAAAGTTCTCATTCTTAGCAGACATGTGCTGTAGGATTTAGTGGTGGAGAGTCACAATACCTGCCACTCACATATAAATGGTAAAAAAAATAAAAAAATGCATGCATATGAACGGCAAAATGACAGGTAGGATGAGGTTATACGGGTATTTGCTATATTAGCTTTTTTAATTTTCTAGAAGTTTCAAGTTTCTTATAATAAAAAGTTGGAGAAAGAAAAAGCACCCCAAACAACAATCTACCCTAACTACAATAGCTGCCCCACCCCCCAAATGCAGAGTGAATTATAAAAACACCAGCACTAAAACCGTGTTACAATGATTTTCCTGCAAATTCATGAAGCATCAATGAGATAAGCTCCTTGCTCGGGCATTTTTTCTATCGCAGATAAAACCGAAGGTTCCAGAAGAGAGGGCAGTAGAGCTGCTGGGAGACAGGCTCTGCTGCCCGCATTCTCAGGGAATGCCCGCCCTCCAGATCCTCCCACACTTCCCAGTATCATGCATGGAGCCCGCCAGCGGGACTAAATAAGCCAACTGAGAAAGGTTAGGTGCCATCTGACTTTTTTAAAAGCCCACCTGTTCCCATGCAAAGAGGTTAGGGTCCCTGGGGGAGGAAGGCCAGGGGGTCGGGCCTGTAGGAGGGGGTGAAGGCCTGAGCCTAAGGGAAGAAGCCATTGTAATCACTGCCTTCACCCAGTTTTGAAACCACTGTTTTACATAGTACCTTGAAAAAGCAACAATGGTATCAACTGGAGTTTGACTGACAGTGTTAAGAACTGGGGGAAGCATTTTCCTGCTCTGGTAACCTCCACTTCCTCCAAGCCCCCGAGCTCCTGCAGAGCAGCAGCTGCTGACAGACCGCTCACCGGGAGCGTCACCCTGGAGCTACGCTACGTGCAGCAAAAACAAGGAAGGTCGCAGAGGCAGAAAAAGTGTTCCTATTTCACAGGCACAACACCCTACACCACACTCGTTCCTAACAGCAAGAGTGAACCCACCCAGGCGATGTAAAACCAGCCCCTCACTGCTTTTAGCAACTGGGGCTGTCCTCTGTGCCAGGAGCTCAGACACAGGATGCTTGCTAGGAAGGCACAATGCTGTGGGGGTGCTGGCACCTTTGCTTACTTCCCACACCAGCTGGAGCTCTTGTAAAAATGGGCTGAGCATCAACCCATGAACTATCGATAGGATGGTTCCATTCCCAGTCAGGGCACACGCCTGGGGATGCGGGCGCGATTCCTGGTCGGGGCCGTGCAGGAGGCAGCCAATCGATGTTTCTCTATTATAGATGTTTCTATCTTCCTATACCACTCCCTTCTTCTCTAATATCAATTAAAAAAAATTTTTTAAGAGTTGAGAGAACAAGCAAATAAAAGCCAAATGGAGCCTGCATCTGAGCTGACAGGGAACAAGACAAAAATTGCATCTGAGCAATGCTACGCCATCCAATAAAACCGCCTTTATGGAAATGCCCCGAATATACACGGCCCATGACAGTAGCCACCGAGGACTTAAAATACAGCCAATGTAAACGAAGAACTCAATGGCTACTTATTTTAATTGTAGCCACACATGGCCGGCGCTGGCATTGAGCAGCCAACCCCGGGTCCTTCCATCACAGCAGGACCCGCCACTCGCTTCCCTCCTACCTGCACTTTAAACGGGTCTCCAGTGATGCGAAGCGGCTTGTCTGCTCCCGTGGGCAGCGGGCCATCCTGGATCATGACCATTTTCACACCCGTCCGCTCCTGTGGACACACAGGCACACCCCCACTCCATGGGTGAACATGCAGGAGAGCTGGATCACAGAGACATGTCCCTCCCACCACAGGGCACTGCCCTCTGACCCGGCCATGAGGCTGGCCTGAGACTGCGGACACAGACCGTGCAAAGCTTGCAGCGTGACACAGAAACCCTTCCCACCCTCCTGTCCAGCCTCTGGAGCATCTAGACACAAACGAGCCCTTTCTATGAACGCCAGGCCCTCCGCTGAGCACTCGATCGAACGTTGCCGGTGAGGGCTTGTCACAGCACGTGAGGCCGGGGCTGCCATCCCGGATGAGGAGGCTCGGATGGGAAGCTGCCCAGGAGCTGAGTAGGAGCCACAATTTGGATTCTGGGAGTCTGACCCTGAACTCTTCGAGCACACACAAGAGTGTCTTCGCAGTCCGAGGACCGGGCTAGGAGGGAGCACACAGGCGGCCACAACCCCTGCTTTGCAACTTCAAAAGCCCAAGAGCTTGCAAATAAAGTTTGTTCATAACTGATTTGGCAGCAAAACTGACCTGAACTCATGGAAGCGTATTTCTAGTCACTCTCCCCGAGTGTGGCTATTATTGTTTGGCTACGGAAATAAGCATTTGGCTACGGGGTGCAGCGCGGAGCTGGCTGGGGTGTTCAGTTCTGAGCCGTGTTGGGCCCACGTGACTCAGATGAGGGATTCTATAGCCAACAGCAGCTAATGTTCATGAGCATTTGCTCAGCGAGAGGCCCGGTGCTACGCGTCTCATTTAAATATAAAATAACGGGTGTTACTTCAGCTTCATTACAGGCGAGGACCAGGCCTCGGGCATGAACACGTTCAAGCTCCCAGGCCTGGCGCAGGCAGTGCTGCTGGCTCTGGCTGCAGCCTCTCCATCTGAGATGCTGTCACGTGACGGTGCCAGAGCTTCACCGCCACGAAGCCCAGGACCGACATCATCCCTGGCACCAGGCCTGGCGACACTAAGTGTCCAGAACTCAGCAGTCGAATGGAGGGAGCGCGGGACCACTCGGCAGGGTGGAGGGAGCTCTGGCCCGCGGCAGGCACAGCCAGGGCGACCGGGAAGTGAGCGCGATGACAAGCCCTCCCAGACCAGGAAGCGGGGAGACAAGGCCCTGCTCAGGGCTCGCGTACCTGCAACTGCTTTATGGTCTCCCCGCCTTTGCCGATGACCAGCCCCACTTTGGACGCGGGGATGAGGAGCTCCTGGATCGTGCTGTTGCCGTCTATGTCGTTATGGAAGCCAGGCCCGTTCCGACAGCGGTCCACAATCTGCCCCAGGAGCCGCTTGGCTTGTCTTTGGGGGAGAGAACCACAAGGACAGCGGCGTTAAGTGAATGCTGCGGGCACCCACCAAGGGGAACACACGAAGGAGCCAAGGCAGCCCTTGTCCGGCTCCAGCTCCTGCCCTCACAACCCGGGAAGCCTCTGCCATCCGCCACGCTACTGGGCTGGAACTTAAAGACCAGGCACAGAATACCAACGCTCCGCACGGCCCTTTCAGTGTGCCCTCTGCTTGTGCTGGGTCTGTCTCCCTCCACCAACACGGCTCTCCTGTGAGCATGGCAGCTGCTCTGGTGGCAGAGACCACCTCTGAACGCTCTGCGTCTCGCTGTGCCCCAATCCAGAGCATATACACTCAACAGACATTTGTTAAGTAAGGGCAGGAGAGAAAGAAATGAGAAAGACAGGAAGAAAGAAAGCAAGGGTTAGTAGTCATTGGAATCCCCAAGTGCCAAATTTCTCCATCACCAGCCAGACTGCCCTGATTTCTGAGCCGATTTTAAGGCTGCGCATCGCCAGGCGGGTTTCACGGTGGAAAAGGAGGGCAGTGCCTGGCGAGTTCACAGCCATACACGCCTGCTTTGCGTGTTTCCCGCCGGAGGCGCAGGCCCGCACTGCACATGCACTGCTGTGTGCGGGTTTCTCAGGCGGCGGGGAGAGCTACGATGTTGAGACAGCACATCGCAGCCCGGAGGTCATCTGCCAGGCCCAGTTCCTTTTCTGCACCAGAATCTCCCCTGCCTGCTCCTTGCATTATTTACTCTTCAATCACCAGGAACAATCTATTTTTTGGTTCCTCTATTAGGAAACAATTCTGCTACTAAACAGGCTGGCTGTACCGCGCACCGGAGAAAGCAAAATTGTTTCTTCCCTAGGTTATAATCCGTGGCCTCCGCCGCCGGGCGGGACAGGAAGCAGGAATGAAGGAGTGGGAAGAAAGAAGGAAAAGGCAGGAGATAGATGTTGCCCTCTGTGGTCCTGAGCCTTTGTGTGCAGAATCAGCCTCGTGTGTCTTCTCAGCCCCAGCGGCTTCTTAGTATTTCGCTGGTGTACTAGATTAGCCTGCGCTGGGAGAGAAGGGCCCGGACGCCAGAAACCATCTCGCCTGCCCTGGAACGCACACCTGCCGGACTTATTTATTCTGTCCGCTGCTTCAATGTCACAGCAAAACACGGGAGTTTAAACCCATCTAGACTCGCTGAGAAATGGAAACAATAAGAGCGCCTACCTACTGAAACAGACAGAACCTCAGCATTCCCACCCCAAGTGCAGCTGCTCAGCAGGCTGAAAGAGGAAAGGGAGCAGAAGCGAAGTTAGTACATCCCTCTCCCCGGAGGCTCTTGGGTTTATGAGGCCTCCGCCTGGCACGAGGCTCCACCACGCAGGAATGCAACGCGAGATTTCAGGTGCTCACGAGGGCCCCAAAGCCGAAACAGCCCCTGGCCGGTCCGTGTGGCCCTCTGAGTGGAGCAATGCCAGGAAGTCAATTCATCGGGCTCACAAGCATCAGAAGAGCAATGCAAGGAGATCACACTCAGGCAGAGGACCTGGCACCAGGATTCCCAAAGGTTTGCCAAGTGCGAGGTCACTACTCCACACCTGTTCAGGTAAAGGAGGGATTAATGAGGAAGAAGGGGGCTGATTAGAGCATTCGGGCGGGTGGACGCACACTCTTTAGAACCCGGCGTATGAAGTAGGTGCTATGACAGCTGTGAGGATTCTGCGGGTTTTTATAAAGGTGATACCGTATGTGGTGTGTGTGTGTGTGTGTGTGTGTGTGTGTGTGTGTAACAGAAAAACGCCCCTGGTGTGACAGCCTTCTAGATCCTTCTCTACAGGAGCACCTGCTCTTGTGGCCAGGCTGTATGTAGCACAGATCGAAAGTGTTCAGTAACAGTTTGCCCTTCCATGTCTCCCCGTTTGGGGAAGGAGGAAGAAGAGTGAAAGGAGAAAGTAAATAAAATAAACTTACTCAATACTTTCTGGGGTTCCGGTAAGTACACAGGGCCTCTCTGGAATCCCAGAACTCTCTATAAGAAGAATCGAGAAGACGAGGTGTGTTGGTGGGCATCAGGCAGCCATGCCCCGTGCCTCTGTGTAAGGCGGCTCTGGGCCGGTGCCTACGCCGGCCCCCAGAAGCCCAGGCGCCCGGAAAAAGACAGTTTGCTCCACTTGTGGACAGAACGGTAAGCTGGTGGCTGTGCCCTAAGATTCTCAAAGTAGGAGCGGGTCCCTGGGGAGGGTGGGAGAATGCAGCAGGTTTGTGAATTGGTCTTAATTCCCAGTTTCAGCTTCACTTCTGACCTGTGTGCTAGTAAATGCCTGAGTCACTTGACCAGCTATTTCCCAGTTTCTCTATCTGCAGAGCAGTTTACTGGTCATTTTTGCAAACAGCTCCGAGGCATACTAGTAAGAAATGTCATGGGTTCGTATCCCACCGATGCCACCAAAAGGGGGGGGGGGGGTGTCATGGTATGAACATCGGGACTACTGCCCGTTCCTGTGTGAATATCCTGACCAGTGATATCGATGTAGAATTGGTTTTGGCCCCTTTGATAAGAAAGGGAAGTCTTACTTTCCAACACCACACATGACACTTTACTTTGCTCCTAAAAATACTGCCTCTTAACATTTTACTCAAAAAAGAAAGAGAAACAGCAGTTACTGCCTTCAAGACATTATACTAGCAAGTATCCTTTAAAATGACAAACGTTTCTCTAGTCAAATGTCCTTAAAACGTCCTCCTCCACTATGGAAAGAGATAGAACGCAAATGAGGTAAAACGATAAAATGTAAACTCTTCTTCTCATCTGTCTCTCTTCATATTGCAGCCAAAATGGACCCCCTGGGAAAGGCCTCACTGTGCTCACCATATGCTAATTCAGCCAGAGCCGCGTGGCCTCTTTCCACAAAGGGCAGGGATGGTGCGAGCCTGGGGAGCCGGGAAGCAATCCCCAGGAGTGACCCCAAAACCACAGGGCCCCTGCAGGCCCCACTGTGTCTGGCATAACATTCTGGTGCAGAAAACAGAGGTGCTAGAGTGGTGGGGGTTCGGGGGGCGGGGGGGGGCACGCCAGGCCGCAGAACAGTGGAGGGTCTCCAGCAAGGTCAGAGGGCAGCCTCGCCTCTGAGCCCGCTTCTGCACCGTTCCCTCCCGGGAGGCCAGGTCCAGAAGTGCAAGGAAAGCAGCACACACACACACCCATGTTCCTACGCTTCTAGCAACACTCAAAGTACTGAATCTGGAAAACTTGGCATAATACTCATTTCTACCAAACTGAGAATTATAAAAACAACAAACAAACAAACAAACAAACAAACAAAGCAGCCTTACCTGAAGCAATCTGAATTTTGCAACCAGATTCTGTCTGAATCCGTGAAATCTGCTCACCTCCCCTGCCAATAACTGAAACAAATGGAACAGGGTCAGAATATGCCCCACCCCTATTTAACCACGCATGGGCGACTGAACTCAACGAGCATTCACACATGGCTCACAGCGACACAGATCAGGCTGGCTTCAGCAAGCCCGCAGCAACCCCGTGTGAAACACAGCAGACAGAGGGCGCTCGATTGAGGAAGGGAGTGGGGCCTGCAGCTCTGGGAGCTCCGGGAGCCTGGAGGAGCGTGTGCCAAGCATTCCGCTAAAGGTGGGGCTCACGCCCAGAGGGAACGGAAAGGAACAGACAGGAATGGGGGAGAGAGCAGCACGTGGATACTTACTGAATCCAACCATTTTATCAGGCACTTTGAATTCTTCTGTTATTACCGTCCTGCAACAAAGAACGTTTGGGAAAACTATAGAGCAGAATTCCAAAGCCAAGTTAGGTTCCCCAAATGTCCCATGCTGACCATGTTGGAAGATAAGGCTAAAGCAATCGTGCCAACTTGGCCAACAGGTCCATAACCACCTACAAGGGGCACCCTCTGATGACCCTCTTGGTCAGTCACTCTTGGGAAAGATCAAGCCTCGCCCTGGCAGGCAGCTCAGCTGGTTAGAGCATTGTCCCGAAATGCCAAGGTTGTGGGTTCGCTCCCCAGTCAGGGTGCAGACAAGTACCAATGAATGCATGGACAAGTAGGACAATAAAACAACAAATCCGTGTTTCTCTCTCTCTCTCTCCCTCCCTCCCCCCTCTCCCCCCCCCCCCTCAAAAAAAGATCCAGGAGTATGGCTCAGCACTGGAAGATCCTCAGGCCAGAACACTGAAGATCCTTTGGGAAGGGGGGGGGGGGGGAGCTAGACTTCCTCCTGGTGTCCTTTCAGATGGAGAAATACCCAACTTCTCTCCAGCGCCCGTTTCCCTGTCTTTGTGTTGCTTTCCGGCCTCCCTCTAATTTTTCTGTCTTTTAGGGTGAAACGCCCCAAATGGAGCCAGTCTCCAGCGGAGGCCTAATCAGTGTTGACCAGGACAGAATAATGACCTGTTACTCTGCAAGGTACTTCTGTTAAATGCTATCCCATCCATTATGTGCTTGCTTTCTTTTTTTTAAAAAAACAACTATCGCGCTGGCTCTTTCAAACAAACCGTCAGATTTGCCATATAGAGTCTTGTGGACAATATCCAATTTGCCCAACACCCCGGGAAGCAATTAAATCTAAACATTTATCTTAGGAGGAAGCTAAATGCAAGTAGTTTAAAAAAAAAAAAAAAAAAAGGTAGCATTTTTAAACATCTCGCACACAGCTGGGTTTTACCCATCACGGGAAGAATTGGATAAAGTGCATGTTTTTAGGGAAAGTGCAGCACTTAGAAGAAATGCAATAGCATAAATAGCACTTGTCACCGTGTCATTCTGATGAGAGCGAACTGTCCTCTCCGCGCGGAGTCTACACCCTCAGGTTTATGTGGGCCCAGGATTCTCTCTGCCGCTGGGATCTTCATCCCCATCAGCCAAGCCCGGGCTTCCTAACCGGGCCCACTGGATGCTGGGGCTCCACCTTAGCAGGGCTCACGTCCTACAGGCCAGGGTCCCTGTAGCTGAGAGACTGCTGCTCACGTGTGGGGCACACACTATCTAAATCCTCAAAGAATGACACTGGGGAATCCACCAGGAGAGGTCCAACACTATCACAACGAACGGGACAAACTCAGCCCTCGGGAACGTGTTTAGCAGACTCTCGTCGCGGAGGAAACATGAAGACGAACTGCTTTGTGCCTCCAGCAAAACAAAGCTATATTTTAAATGCGAGGCTGGAACTTGTCTAAAGCACGAAGTATTATCACTTTGGAAAGTAAAATCCTGGTTAATTAAGGTCTTATAGGAGGAAAGTTACATTTGATACTAACAACCTTATTTAAATTCCTTTAATTCATTAACAAACAAAACAAATGAGCATCGTTTCCAGTACATTTTCTCTCTTTAAAGGGTAACTATGTGACTACAATACCCTATCTTACAGACTGGTCTTTTTAAGCCCAGAGGTCTTTTCATTTTTCTAATCCTCAATGTTTAAAGGAAGGCCGTGAGGGGAAAGTGAGGCAGGGAATCAACTGGATACTTATCCAAGGTTCTCTGGCAAGTCCCTACCACTATGGGGGGGGGGGGGGACACCCGGTTCCTGGCCTCCCAGGCTCCTGATTCCTTGAGGACCAAAAGCTGTGTCTTCACTTGGGAAAAAGCCCTAGTTTCTGAAGTGGAGAGGTTAAGGATTCATAAAACACCGGGGGGAAAGTGAAAACAAGAGGGAACATTTCGTTGTCTCATTTTAAGTTAAATGTATGTGAGCAGAAAGAACAGCTCCAACATTCTAGAAGTCTTTTAAGTTTACATACACTAACGGCTGATCTTTACTACGTTGTGTTAGTTTATCCTTTGAGCTTAAAAAGGGCTACAAAAACTTAAGTCTTAAAGATTAGCCCATGGTTTTCCACACTCTCAACCTCTGACTTTCTAACTCTCTAGTACAGATGGTGGATCAATAAACAATTAGAAATGATCAATAAATAATAAAACATAACCCACTGCTTACCTTTGATGTACCAAGGCCCCTAACTGGTTACCTACTGTGGCAAAGAGAAAGAGAAAAGAAAAATCAAAGCATTAGCACGGATAAACTAACTTCATCCTTACACAAGTTCTTACAATTTCAAGGGGAAAGAAAGAAAGGCGGAAAGAAAGCAAATAGTAATTTAGGCTCAGTGGCTGAAATGAATGCGTTATGTGATATGAAACAGGAGGGGATGTCTTGATCAGCACAGTCTCTAACTCCGTGTCCAGCTGAACGAAGGATAAGACATTGATCTGTGTGTCCACATGCTGAGCAGCCTGAGAGAAAATCCTGCCTGCCTAAATCCCTCTCACTTCCCACCGCCCTCCTGCTCGGGATCCAAACTCAATGTAAGGATGCCGAGGGTCCTTCTTCCTCTTTCTAAAACAAATGAGAAGATGTGACCCCCTGGCTCAGAGGCATTGTCAGGGACGGCCCCTTGGCAGCTGCAGTCGCTAAGACCATGCACATATGCTCCTGCCTGCCACGGGGCGCCCATTCTCCCCACCTCCCGGGAGCATAGACTCAGGGAGAGGATCTGGCTTCCCCCCTCCACGGGCCTCTGCGCTGACCATCTAGCAATCTGTGAGGCGCTCAGAAGGAACAACTCCTGCCTTCCAAGCCCATTTCAGAGACAGTGGTGCCAAACAGCTCTGACGGTGCACACCAGCTCTGGGATCACATTCCCGCAGACCCCTCAGCTCCGCTTTTTATTCCCGTTCCTCCTCTCCCAGCCGTTGTGGAGTGTCCCTGCCACTGTTAGCAAAAAGAATCTGTGGTGTTTCTCGTGGCAAATGCAGCCCGGGACACACAGCCAGCAGACAGCGCAGTAAAAGTCCTACACATGTGGCACGAAACTGAATGAGCCTTATGATGTGCTCATGAGAGCATTCAGAAACACGAGCAGGGGCCGTTCTAAGCAGGACAGATAGGAGATAAGTGCCAAGGATCCATGACAGGAACCTCAGAACGAAGAGTGACATGGCCTAGCATCTGAAATACAGGACTCCAATTGCTCTTCCTTCTGCTTAAACTTGACCGTCTTTCTCTGACCGGCAGGAACTGGCCATAAAAAGAAGCCAGATGCTGCTGTTTTAAAAGAAAAACACCTAGAGAAATGATGCCAGCAAAAATAAGTGAAGCTACTGAGTCAATACCATATTTCTTCTGGATCAATAGCAAGATAATGGTCTGCAGCCAAAATATTGATATGATATACCATTAACCTGCTTATCTCGGGGAGAAGAGTTGCTTTCCATTGACTCTTAAGTTTTTCTTTTTGCATTTCCAGTTTCATACGACAAACGCTCTGGCTTGGGGACTCTCACGCCACATGAAAACAGGACAACCAGCAGCTGAGGGAAGAAACCCTCGCCACACACTCAACCCCGGGATGTGAGAGGAAGGCCGTCGCCCATGCCCTCCAGCGGGGCTAGCTGTCCCGGTGAGGGTCCCGCTCAGCTTCCCGGCTTCCCCCAGAAGTCTTCTCTTAGGGGCAGAGTCCACTGCAGACTGAGGAACTAAGACGCCTGGAAATGACGAGAACAGAGAGGCGTCAGTTCCCCAAACAGAGCGCCTCGCCAGACGGTGGCTCCTGGCCTGCATGCTGTGCGGTTAAGACTTGTCAAAAGGCCCTAACCAGTTTGGCTCAATGGATAGAGTGTCGGCCTGCAGAATGAAGGGTCCCAGGTTCGATTCCAATCAAGGGCATGTACCTTGGTTGCGGGCGCATCCCCAGTAGGGAGTGTGCAGGAAGCAGCTGATCGATGTTTCTCTCTCATCGATGTTTCTAACTCTCTATCCCTCTCCCTTCCTCTCTGTAAAAAACCAATAAAAAGATTTGTCAAAGGCTAATGATCTTCGGCGATTTCATACAGAAATACACAGAGTAAAGGGCAAGGCTACCGTAAAGAACTCCATGACACCTGGGGAGCATCGAAGGCTCCTGGTCAAATAGCCGTTTGAAATTTTGTGCTCATCACAGAAAAGGAAATTCCTTTTTGGTGACAAAGTATGTGTCACAGGTTCCGCACACGGTGTCATTTCTGATGGCCAACTGCTCTGCTGACAAGTGCAGGTGATTACAAACCAAACACAAGAGCGCACACACATCAGCACACAGACAGACGGACTTCTGAGAGCCACACCACCCAGGAAGGAAATCCATTCAAATCTAGACCCAACTCTCCCTTAGCAGACTCTTTAGGATAAATGGTCTCCATCCTCCAGGCCAATGCCGCAGCCAAGGCTGAAATGCCGGATTTAAAGTTGCACTCCCTTCAAGAACATTCCCATTTGGTGCTTAAAAATGAAAAGCAGCAGCCAGGCAAGGGGCACTGGGCACTCAGTCAGCACACTGATAATGTCAATGCCATGAGAGGGGGTGAGGGCCTGGGGGGCTCCGCTCGGTCTTCATGGGGGGTCAAATGAGGGAGGCATATGGGAACACCTATAAAGCTCCATTTATGGTAACTACCATCATTTTACTGCCAAAAAGAAAAGTGCTGAAATATCAGTCCTATTTCCCCTAATGGTGCATGCTGGCTGACAACAGTTCTTGCCTCGAAAATTCACCTGCGCGCTCCATTCTAGCACGCGCGCGCAAACACACACACAGGTGTCGTTCTCATTCATCCTGCCCGCTATGTAATGGGCAGCTCCCTGGGCTATGGGAAAATGAGCTCCCCACGGAAAATATTCACACTACAATATGAGACGTTCTTTCTGAAGAGCAACTCTGCCAATTTCAATAATGATGTTTTGGGGGGAAACGGCAGCTGGACACTTATTTACCCATCAGTAAGGAGAAAGTCTTCATGTTCCTTCCTCCCCCCAAAATGCTAGCCAGTGTCGCTGGGGAACACACCCAATTTTAGAACAGGTATCAGATGTAATTGTAACCCCCCTACCCTCCCGCAAAAAAGCCCAAGGAACAAAAGCACCCTCACTCCTCTGCCAGCGCGGACAGCTCGCCAGCCTCACGCACAGCAGGGACCAGAGGCAGGTGAGTGGCGGTCAGCAGAGAAATGTCAGCTGTTTTTGCAGAACTGACAAAAATAATAAATAAGCCAGACCTTCCTCTTCAGGTTTTGAAAACAATCCTCCTGTGCTTGGCTTGGATTCCAGAGTCCTCTGTCTCTGAAGCGAGCTGAGCTACAGCCATTTCTGCAGTTTTCCAAGCGATTTCAAAAAGCTTTCTCCCCAGGACAATACAAAGGCTTCCTGTGTTCTAACAGCAACTCTCGCCCCGGGGCCTCAAAACACTGACATGCTGAGTTCAGCTGCAAGTCCCAAGACAAGTAATCTGTTACTAATTCTGCAAATTGTTATTTTTAAAAATGAGAATAAATTCAAGTTGATCTCAAGAATGCCCTCGCTTGCAGTCTAATGCGCTCCTGTGAGTGGCTAAGAGCACCAGCTCTGCTTCCCCAGGTGCTTCCCCAGGTGCCGCAGCGGCACGCACCCCTCAGTCCTACAGAGCCTAAGAGCAGGCGCTGGTATTAGCAGCCCCAGGTGCCGAGCCCTCAGCACAGTGCCCACGAGCGTCTGTGCCCATCGCGCCTTCCAGGTGCGGGGAGCTGGGCACTGCGCCAGGTCCCGGGGGAAAATGGTGAGCCAGATCCTCTCTGCCCTCAGGAAGCTTCGGAGTGAGTGCAGCCAGGAAAGCAGAACGCTCCCTGACCTGGCCTCCAGGGATGGGGAGGAGCTAGGAACCCCACTTCAAGTGCCTACTGAGGGCCTGACCCAAGGGTCTCTGTAGGCAAATTAAGAGGAAAAGTATGTCTACACTACTGATTTACAGCACTATGCCTTATTTCCATTTAATCCAGTGGTTATGACATTCATTTGGGTCATGACCAACTTTATAATAAAATAAAATAGAAAACAAAGTGTTTATATAGTAATATAAACATATATAGTAACACGGCTTTTACTTCCGTTGTACATGTTTCAATATATGTTTACTAACTAGTTCTGGTGGAAATATGAACACTTGTCACATGGTAAGTAGTAGTTAGAAAGTTTGAAAATAACCTGTTATAATCTGATGATAATCTCATTAGGTAGATACCATCTTAATTTGAGATAAGAAAACAAAGGCTCAGAGAGGTTAAGTAATGCCCAAAGTCACACAGTTAACTGCAGAGCTAGGATTCAAGCCCTCACCCACCAGACTTTGGAGACCACATTTCAAGCAGACACTCTCATGGCCTTTGAGACAGAGACCCAGGATTTGAAGTCTTCATTCTGATTCTTATCAGGAATCAATGTGGTACGATCATTTCAACACGTAATTGCCTGGGCCTCTCCCGGGGCAGAAACCTGGAGAAGATGCTCCCCTGCCCCAGGAAGACGGAGGGGAAGATGAGAAGAGCGGCTTTGCCATCTGTCAGCCCACTCCCGGCTAAGCTCTGGGCAAAATGTAAGAAATCACTCGTTTTCTCAGCGAGGCAGTGGAACCCGAGACGGGGAAACTTGTTTAAGGAAACTGGGGTGGGGGTAGAAGTGGGGGAGCTCTGTACACCTCTCTGACTGCAGATGGAGTTAATCATTTGACAGGGCTGGTTGGAGATCAGAGGTTGGCAAGCGGAGCCCGAGGGCCAGCTGCCTATTTCTGTAAACAAGGAGGGCCGGGAGCGCAGCCACCGCGTGTTTACGTGCGTCCACGGCTGCTTCCAAGCTCACGGCAGAGCTGAGCAGGTGGGGCAGAGACCAGGACCGGAAAGCCTAAAATATTTATTATCTGCTCCTTTAAGAAAAAACTTGCCAAGTCCTGGTTTAGATTAAACTGAAGTTCACGGTTTTAAAACACGTGGCTAATGCTGTTCTCTTACACGTGGAGTTTACTTTCCGGACAATTTTCTAAATGCCAATCACAGGGTACAAAGGAGAACTTAGCATTGAGCATCTATACCCTCCCGCTGTAAGGCAGGCTAGGAACAGAGAACGCCTCTAGGGTGAGTGAGGGCACGTAGGATTGGCCAGAGAGGGACACTGAGGATCCGCAGAACAAAGCGGAAGTGACGCATACCTTAAGGGACAAACGAACCTCAGAAGTTCAGAGCAGAATGAGAGGACTGTAGGAAAGGGGGAGGAAAAGAGGGAGAGGAGGAGGGAGGAAGGGGGGACAGGAGACAAGAGAAGACAGAGAGGCTGGTGGCACCTGAGCGGGCACTGAAGGAAGTCAGAATGAGCATGAGGACAGGCTGCAGGGAAGCAGTCTGACCTATAAATTTCGAGACCTACGGCCTGAGGGGGAATTGGCCAGGTGAGAGCTGGGGTGGGGGACATGCTTCTGGGAGAGCAAAGAGAACAGACGATCAGGCTGCTGAAGGGGGGAGACCAGGAGGGCAGGTGGGTGACAGCCAGGCCAGGCTGGACCTCCCTGGTTCCTGGAACCTGCCCCAGGCCTTCCAGAAGAGGCAGAAACTGGTCTGACGGGCTCCAGCAGTGGCAAGAAAAGTACTGGATGGAAAGGGTGCCACACCCGACACCAGCAGGGATTCCCGAACTGAAGATCTGCACCTCAAAGGCTGTTATAAAGCGTGGGTGCCAAGACCGAAGAGGCTGACAAAGTTAGGTGAGCCAGGACAGGCTCACAGAGGCTCAAACTGCAGGATCTCTCACGCCCAGCCGTCTGCACCAGGACTAAACTGTCCCTGCCTTTCTGGCCCAGCTCTGGTTCTAACCCTCCTATGCATACACCTGTCTGTCTATCTCAGTGTTCTGAACAAACCCTGGGTTAAGGTTCTTTGTGGTCAACATCAGAGTTGAAATACTTCTAAACAGACCTAAGTAAATCCTCCAAAAATGTCTAGTGGACTGAACTTTAACCTCCTGAAGGTTAAAGAACTCCACTTCATTGGCAAGTTAGAAAGTTCACATTGCTAAAAGTGATCTGGTGCCCTTCTGTCAAAAAAACCCTACGCCAAACCAAACCAAACACTGCGAGCCTTTGGAAAACTTCATTGCAAAGAAAAAGCGATGGAATTCCTGTTGGTTGTTTTTCTCTGCTTTTCTAACCTTTCATCTCACAAACAGCAAGACCGTGCCCCCTAGAAAGCTGTGGGGCACACACAAGCACTCTGCTTGGCAGGCCCTGTTTATTCATGTATCCATCCAGGAGAGCGGAACTGGCCCAGTGACCCATCCCCATCAGAATATGCTGACGGCTGACAACAGAGGCTGAGGCAGGCCCCACCGCCCACAGTTCTCTAACCGAGATCAGCAGCAAATCTCTCTCTCCATGTGGGACCACCGTGGGGAAACAATCCCTGTGATTCTGTTATGTAAGCGTGCTCACAGAAGAGGACTGACTTCATCAAACTGTAATGCAGAATGCCAAAAGCCTGAGTGACATTTCTTGTTCTCCGAATCCATCTGTTGTGTAAGACACAGGCATCCAGGGACGCCAGAGGCCGAACAGAAGGTTCTCTCTCAGTTCCTTCCTACTACACTGTAAGATGTCTTACTATTGAGAAGAAGGAAAGAGAGAAATTGTGTTCACTTTCTGGTTACAAGGACTTGGTCCCCAAAAGGCAGGCACGCAAAAAATCATGGTTCTCATCAGTGAGGTGAGGGAGCTGGATGGAGGAGGGCTGAGGGGGAAAATGAAGGTAATCTGGAAAAGGTTCAACAACAGAAAGTGTGAAAATAAACAATATGATAATCACTGAACTTCCAAGTGAGATCCTGGACTTCCTGGTGACTTACTAACTATGGCTGCTCGCTTCCTGGGTCTCTTTATCATTAGGTTCAGAACCTTCTGCTAATTTCTTTCTAGTGGGTATCAAAGGATTAACGGGAAAATGCCCGCAAAATGCCAACGGTCACATTTGCAAACATGTGGGCGTTCCCAGGCAAAGAACACAGTGAATACGAGACACTGGGCGCAGCTTCCACTGCAACTGACTCCACATGTGGGTAAAAACAAGGCTGGGAGTTGTGAAACTATTGATCTCAATTTCTGGAAACGGCGGGCCAGAGAGACTCTGTCCATTAACAAGATACGTGTTCAGTGCCAGACAACGTAGTTCTACTTTCCTATTGATGTCTCACAGGAGAGGCAGAAGCATAATTGCCCTAAAAAGGTAAAAAGCTTTTTGCTAAGGCAAAACGCAGAGAATGCCATTAGTCATATTTGGTCTAAGAAATCACTAGCACCAGTCAAATAAAAGCAGCTCATGGCGTATTATCTGGAAGCAGCAGTTTAAATGGTCACCGTAGTTCCAATGGTCTGGAGTAGACTTCCTATGTGCGTGATCATAAACATAAACTGTTGTTTTAAACAGAGAACTTGTACACCCAAATGTTATCCCCTTAAAATCTTCTCAGTGTGAATCTACACAATTATTCCAAAAAGGTTCCCACATCCTATATAATAAAAGCCCAGTGACCATACGGCTTAACGACCAGAACCACCACTCGACCAGTCACTGAACACCTCTTGGTCCCTCCCTCTCCCCAGCTCCGCGGGCTCTAATCACATGATGGCGAATGGGGCTCTGGGGTGGGAGGGATGGGGATTGGCGGCGAGCGGGTGGAACAGCCAACCTCTTGGTCCCTCCCCTTAGCCCACAGGCTCCGATCGCAGGATGGTGAACGGGAACCACGGAAAACTAGAGTGGGTGGCGGCGGGGCAGAAGATGGCCCTGATAAAAAGCTAGGCCTGGGACCCTACCCGCGCAGGAATTCATGTGCTGGACCTCTATTCTAAAAATGATGGCGATCTCCTCTTTTAGAATCCCAAGGAGACCAGAGAAAAATCAGTCAAGCCAAATTACATTTTTCCTATGTATTATAAAAACATGTACTTTTTTAGAAAAAGGGATTACATATATAATACATCTTGTTGCACACCTTGATTTTTTCCCCTTAACGTATCACAGAAATATGTACACATACACATGGTTGGATATAGAGGCAGACTGACAGGACAGAAGGAGACACTGGCTCACCACTGTATGAACATTCATGTACCATCTAGCATATTGCACAATCCCTGTTATAGTCACACTTAGTGGAAGACCAAATCAGATAAAGAAAGGCCAAGTTCTCTACAGAAGCACGTTTGGAAGATTCTCTGCCAGAGGGCTGGTGATAGGGGGGTGGAATGAAGGTGAATAAATATATATATAAACAAGCCAACAAAATAACAAATGAATGAATGAAAGGAAAAGGAATGTTCTAGAAAGAACTTGTCATACATGGGAATGATGAAAAACCAGCAGATAGATGAGAGAAAGGTCATCTCCCTCCCCCTTTCCTTTCTTTAAGGTTAAGATATAGCCATGGCAGAGGTCGGTTTGGCTCAGTGGATAGAGCGTCGGCCTGCAGACTGAAAGATCCCAGGTTCGATTCCGGTCAAGGGCATGTACCTTGGTTGCGGGCACATCCCCAATAGGGGGTGTGCAAGAGGCAGCTGATCAATGATTCTCTCTCATCGATGTTTCTAACTCTCTATCCCTCTCTCTTCCTTTCTATAAAAAATCAATAAAATATATATATAAAAAAAAGAGGAAAAAAAAAGGTATAGCCACGGCTTCCTCAGAGGCAGGCACCAAAACTTAAGCTTTTCTTCTGAGAAAAGTGGAAACTCCAATCCTTACATGTGTACTGGAAGAACGGAGGGCTACACCCAGCAAAACTATCAAATCCGCCAAATTATTTCCAAGCTGATGCTCAAAGGCCAAGTCTTTCCCTGAGAGCCCGGCTAAAAAGATTCCTGTATTATCAAGGCAAATAAGAACTCAAATGCTGGGGAATTGCTGAGGCAAATCATCCTGAACACTCTCCTCAGCCGTTCCTCCTCATGTGCTGAGGCTGGTAAGGAAATGGCTGGCACAGGCACTGATAGGCTCTCTGCCGCCGAGGGGCAGACACCGCCAGCTTACCTCCGTCATCCAGGGGCCGCTTCTGCACTCCATAGCCGTACACGGAGGGGTCCACTAGGGGCGCGGAATTATTCAAGTGAGGAATTGAATCTATTTTAGCAGCAATCTGCAGAAGAAGAGATTTAAACATTCAGGAACAAATCACGGCTCTATCAGAGTCCTCTTTGGAGGGCTGTTTTTCTCCCCCTCCCGCCCCCCCCAACCCGCCCCAACCTGCATTAATGTAAGGCAACGCCATGGTAGGATAAACACTTTTCACTGTCCACTGAGTTTTTTTTTTTTTTGTCTTAATAATAATGTCTCTTTAGAAATGAAAAAAGTACCAAAAATGTGCCTTTTACAAGCAATTAGTGTTTCTAAGCCATCACTTAAAATACAGGCATACTGCATTTGAAGAAAAAAAAGCAGGCCAACAGTAAGAAAAACTTTGCTCAAAAGGTTTTATCACAGGATTCCTTTAAGAAACAAATTCCCCAACAATATTTAAAAGGCCATGTTTGCTCAACTGACAACCCTTTAGGAATATACCCGTCCTGTTAACGGAAACATCTATAAACGTGACGCAATCTACAGCTATAAGGCGATAAGCTGCTCTTCGCTGGAAGTGTCTGAACGGCGGGGGATGACTGCCTGTCCAGACTACTGTAAGATTCCTGCATTTGAGAAAGTAAGATAATCTGAGGCCTGTTTCAACTTTTAATATTTTATTTATTACCAGTTAAAGAACAAAACATAGTTATTAAAAATTTCCCCCAGAAACAAATGCTATATAGGCTTATCTACTTGGTTCTCATTAGGAAATTATTGTGATCTTCACAATAAATCAACTCTTTGATTTAATCAATGTCTACAGCAGTTGCTTTTTTTTTTTTTTTTTTTTACTTTTTAAAAAAATATATTTTATTGATTTTTCACAGAGAGGAAGAGAGAGGGATAGAGAGTTAGAAACATCGATGAGAGAAAAACATCGGATCAGCTGCCTCTTGAATACCCCCCACTGGGGATGTGCCTGTAGCCAAGGTACATGCCCTTGACTGAAATCGAACCTGGGACCCTTCAGTCCGCAGGCTGATGCTCTATCCACTGAGCCAATCCGGTTTCGGCTATAGCAGTTGCTCTTGATGTTACTCCCTGAAGTAAGCCTAGCACACCTGTCTCAGAGAGCAAAATCTTCAGTGGAAATTCTGAACATGTCCCAATGTGCCCAGAAGTCTGAGACCTTCCAGGACCAACGTAAAGATGAATGACCTTGAACAAATAAACCAAGACAATCATGAAAACCTCAGGCAAGACTTAAATGCCCTGGGGTCAGGGTTTGTCCCTTCTATTACTGGTCTGTGATGTTGGCAAGTCCGTTTCTTCTCTGCTTAAGACCCTCTGGATATACCATCTGCTTCATCGTTTTTTGAAAAGGTAACAGCATATTCTGAACACAAAGGAGCTTTGTACACTGAAGAGCACTTCACAAATACCAGGGCTGTAAAAGAAGGCAAATCACCCCACAAATGGTGATTGCCTACTGTGTGCGAGGCTGTGCCAGGCACCAGGCTCCTGTGGCGAACAAGAATAACCAAGCCCCAGTTCCCTGGAGTCCGCAGTCGGCGGGGAGTCACGGTACACAACGAACTGAGCGTTTCAGGTGGCATCAGCATGATGCCAGGAAAATACAATGACTGTTAGAGTGCGTGGGAGAGCTGCTTCATATAGGGCGATCAGGGCAGGGCACCGGGAGGTGGCATGTAATCTGAGACCTCAATGATGAGCAGCAGCTGGCTGCAAAAAATCTGAAGAGCTGTCCAGGCAGGAGAAACAGCTTGTACGAAGGCCCTGAGGCCGCAGCGAGTTGGCCGGTAGAAGCCTGAGAGGCAGCAGTTAATGTCAGTAGAGTAGAAGGATTAGATGTGTACTCAGAAGTGGGCAGGAGCCAGCTCACACAGGGCTTTACTGATCATGGGAAGGGGCTGGGGTTTTATAGGAAGGGTGATCAGAAGCAACTACGAGGCTTTCTAAGGGAGGTAAAGTGCTGATATGTTTTTAAAAGATGCTCTCAGACAAGACAAATAGCTTCTAAGTGGTCAAGAATAGGGACACCACTAGGTGTTCTAATAGGAGGTATTCTAAGCCAAGGGTGAGCAAACTACGGTGGTGAAACACCTGCCTTTGTAAGGAACGCTTTATTAGAATAGAGCCACACCCATTTGTTATCGGTAAGGAGTTGCAGAGACCATACAGTGTGCAAAGCCATACCATTTGGCTTTTTCATTGTCAAAGAAAAAGTTTGACAATCTCAAATACTAAAGATAGCCAGCTGATAGAAACCCCACCTCCTACAGCCAAGTAAGTCTAAGGGCAAATGGCCATTTGCTCTTAAACAAAAGGCGTATACATCCTGCCTAACAGCATTCTACCATCTACGTGCAAGCATGCTCCCTTATTTGTTTTGGATAAGCTTGTAGAGGTTGGCTACTTATTTAAGATGCAAAAGTTACCTGTAAGGACTCAGCTGGTAAAGCAGGTGGGTTAAAAAGGCGAGAACATTGCAAGAGCTGTGTCCACAGAGACCCTCTCATCTGCCACAACAAACTGGCTAATGTAAGGATTTTCAAAATTGGCCTAATTGCCCTGGCTGGTTTGGCTCAATGGGCAGAGCGTCCGCCTGCGGACTGGAGAGTCCCAGGTTTGATTCCAATCAAGGGCACATGTCTGGGTTGCCGGCTCAATCCCCAGTAGGGGGCATACAGGAGGCAGCCAATCAATGATTCTCTCTCATCATTGATGTTTCTATCTCTCCCACTCCTTTCTGCTCTAAAATCAACTAAAATATATTAAAAAAAAAAAAAAAAAGTTTGGTCTAGTTGTTTTTTCTTTTTTTTGTTTTGTTTTTTATTGATTTTTTTTTTTTTTTTTTTTTTTTACAGAGAGGAACAGAGAGGGATAGAGAGTTAGAAACATCGATGAGAGAGAATCATCGATCAGTTGCCTCTTGCATATTCCTACTGGGGATGTGCCTGCAACCAATGTACATGCCCTTGACTGGAATTGAACCTGGGACCTTTCAGTCCGCATGCCGACGTTCTATCCACTGAGCAAACCGGTTTCGGCTGTCTAGTTGTTTTTTTAAAGACAGACCAAAACATTCTCAGAAGACATGAAAAAAGTATGACTATCAGTGGAGTCAGTCCCCCAACAGTGTGCATGTGACATCACTCTCAAAGACAGGGCCTCAAAACGTGCCCTCTCCCTGCTCCTTTCTGATACCCCATCTTCCAAATCTTCTTCCTTCCTGCCAACCAACCTAGCTAAATGTTAGTTCTGAGTCCTCGGCCTTCCTTATTTTCCTACCAAAGCCAATATGGTAAACATGTTATAATAGTTTCCTGTTCCTAATATTGATTATATCAACAAGTGTCCTTTCAAATTTGGGACTGAGACTTTCAAATGTTTTTTTAATTCACCATTTTATTTTTAATTTTTTAAAATTTAGAGAGGGGGGGAGGAGGAAGAGGGACGAAGGGACAGCAGGACGGAGAGAGGGAGAGACAGACATTGATTTGTTGTTCCTCTTATTATTATTTGTGCATTCACTGGTTGATTCTTGCATGTGCCCTGACCAGGGATTGAACCTGCAACCTTCACTTGTTGGTACAACGCTCTAATCTACTGCCTTATCTGGCCAGGGCCAGATTTGTTCTTAAGTCATGTTTGCCACAGGGGAATTTGTAATAATGGTTCAGAGGTGTAGCCCTGAAGTCAATAGGCTACATTTGAACTTTGGCTAAACAAATGACAGATACCAAGTGTAACATTAAACATACAATTGCATCACAATTTACATTGATATTTCATAGTATATTACAATATACCAAAAAATTCAATGTGCTCATTTCTTCATATAAATGTAACTTTATTCTAGGAAATGATATGAAATATCTACTAAAATAACCAGTTGAAATTTAATGAGTGCTCACTATGTGTTGGTCCTCTAGGAGCATTTTAAACATGCTCTATCATTTATTCCTTACAATGATTCTCTAGGAAGCTGGTGTTATTATTTCTATTTAAAAAATATATATTTTATTGATTTTTTTACAGAGAGGAAGAAAGAGGGAGAGTGAGTTAGAAACATCGATGAGAGAGAGAATCATCGATCAGCTGCCTCTTGCACATCCCCCACCGGGGATGTGCCCGCAACCAAGGTACATGCCCTTGACCGGAATCGTACATGCCCTTGACTGGAATCGAACCTGGGACCCTTCAGTCCACAGGCTGACGCTCCATCCACTGAGCCAAACCGGTTTTGGCTATTTCCATTTTTTAAAAAAAATTTTTTTATTGATTGCAGAGAGGAAGAGAGAAACATCAATGATGAGAGGGAATCATTGACTGGCTGCCTCCTGCACGTTGGACTGAACCCACAACCCAGGCATGTGCCCCTGACTGGAATCAAACCTGGGACCCTTTGGTCCACAGGCGCACACTCTATCCACTGAACCAAATGATCTAGGGCATTATTTCCATTTTTAAGATAAGGAAAACTGACGCTCAGAGAAGCTGAGTGACCTGTCAAAGTTACACATCTTATAAGTAGCAGAAATAGTATTTAAGCCCAGGCATGCCTGACTCAAGTCTGTAACCACAGTACTAAGCCATCTCTCTTCCCTCCACCTAATTCTTTCTTAAACACATTTCACTTCTCAAGGACTTAAACCTAGTGGTTCATAGCACACTCACATTGCAAGGGATTGTTCTGAACAGCAACTGCTAAGGAAAGTGGGTACGTTCTCAGCTAATGGCACAGGCCAGAAAGTAAGAGCCACCGAAGCCAGAATATTCCAACAAAACCACGGCCACCCCAGTCCTTATCTGAAAGCATGACCTCGAACTCTGCTACCGATTTCCTACCACGTCAATCACTTCTCCTGCTTTGGAGGGAAGATGGGGAAGAGAATGGGTTAGCTCACTACCTGTGCTATTTTAAGCACAGTCAATGATGAAATATAAATATGATAGACTAAATTTAACCTCCACTGCCAGGAGTCGGCGGAAATACGAAGGAAGGGAGCACCGGACCAGGAGTCAGTTAAGAGTTTGGTTTTCCAGCCAGAT